TAGAAAGTGATTGTAAAAAGATAATTAAACCAGGAAGAAAAGCGCTTTATTGTGCATTCGGTCAGGAAAAAAACAACACAATTTCTGCATGCGAGAAAAACAAATAAAAAAAGGTGTTTCCTTAAAAGAAAATCGTTTTTAAGAGAGGGTATGGTTTCCCTAGATGACCAGCAACGTTGAACCCCTTTAAGGCATCGAGTCAATGAGGATATCAATGAGGGGATGGGGCATTATGTCCCACTCCTCCAGAAGAGCTTTTTCCAGTTTTTGGAGAGTTTGGGGGGGTAGTAGGCGTTCAGCAATTCTTCTACCTAGAATGTTCCTAACATGCTTGATTGAATTCATGTCCGGAAAACAAGCTGGCCAATCCATTCGTATGATCCTTTCCTCCAAAAAATCATTGATCAAGTTAGCATGATGTAGCCTGCAATTGCCATCCATTAGCATGAAGTCATATACAATTACTGCAATGTAAAGGACTACAATATGTTTAGGATATGTACTTAGGATCTCATTTCTATATCCGCGACCGGTCAGAGCTCCATTTTGAATGATATGGAGATCGGTACACCCATCAATGGAGATCCCAGTATAGACCATCACTCTCCAACCGTCAAATCTTACTCTTTCGTGCTCAAACGCAAGGTTGTTTCTAGTAACGCGTTCCCTCCAGATGGAAATACGCCTATTATCAGGATGAACAGAAAAAGAATATTGCGCCATTTATTTCCCCACCAGTTCACATTCTCCGTTGCCCATTCCCAGCGGGCACGACAATGTCTTGTTGTTAACATGACACACACCTATGGTCGGCGAGCATACAGACCTACAGGGTGAAAGCGGTTTCGGACAGTTAGTGTCGAAACTATGGTGCCAGTAGCCGAACGAAGGCGTTGTTGGAGAAGAGTGGCTTTCATATTTCGGCGTAGTCCCGCAGAGGACTGATCGTTAAGACACGGTTTCCAGCAGATCACCGAAGCCAAGCATCACTGGCTGCAGTCAGTGTGCAGGTGGGTGACCACTTGGATTAGTCTGCGTAGGGACCGAGGGTCTGCGGTATTGGTCCTCGTTAAACTGTTCTACTGTAAAGTGCACGACTTCGTTGCAGGTCGTCGGGCTACCGAAACGGGGGTACCATTCTCTCTACAGAGGATCAAAATTGTGATGGCTTGTCTTCGGATTATCCTCAGGGATGTTTCCCAGACCGTCGCCAATAGCCCATTGTGCAGCTCTATTGTGACGTAAATGAACAACAACCACAACATATTTCGGCGTCCCCGTGCCGTTAGCGTTAAATAACGATCTTTACTAGGCGTTGTTGCACGTCTACGCCCTTGCCCTAATCTTCGGTCTGCATTTCCAGTTTCCAAAAAACGGTTCCAGATCCTGGAAATGACACTTCGTGAAACTCCAATGGCTTCTGCTACCTTGATTTGTGTTTGGCTCCCCTCTCTAGCCGTGTGGCGTCACAGAAGTTGAGGAGGCTAGTCGGCTCCAAGCTTCTGATTTGGTTAAATGACTTAGTTGAGACATCGCACTCATTAAATAACGCACTTACTGATGTCGACTTTTCTGCTTTGTTTTACATTAAATTGAAAGCCAAATTAAATTTGCTGTCGCTAAAGCGACAAATTTGCTCAAAATTTGCAGACTGCAAAGTTTAAAAATCAGAAAAAATTTGCATTCATGGCTCTCTTCTTCCATTTTATGCAAAAAAAAACCACAAAAAAAAAAAAAAAAAAAAAAAAAAAAAAAAAAAAAAAAAAAAAAAAAAAAAAAAAAAAAAAAAAAAAAAAAANGCGGGTGGGTGATCACTTGGATTAGTCTGCGTAGGGACCGAGGTTGTGCGGTATTGGTTCTCGTTAAACTGTTCTACCGTAAAGTGCACGACTTCGCTTGCAGGTTGTCGGGGCACCGAAACGGAGGTGAAATCCCCTCTGCAGAGGATCATAACTATGATGGCATGTCTTCGGATTATCCTCAGGGATGTTTCCCAGACCGTCGTCAATATCCCATTGTGCAGCTCTAGTGTGACGTAAATGAACTACAACAACATATTTCGGCGTCCTCGTGCCGTTAGCGTTAAATAACGATCTTCGTTGGGCGTTCTTGCACGTCTACTCCCTTGCCTTGATCTGGGGCCTGCATCTCCAGTTTCCAAAAAAGGGTTCCAAATCCTGGAAATGACTCTTTGTGAAACCTCAATGGCTTCTGCTACTTAGATTTGGGTTTGGCCCCCCTCTAACCGGCCAACAATTCTCCAAACTTTTGATTTGGCTAAATGACTTCGTTGAGACATCGCACTCATGGAAACAACACGCTTACTGAATGTCGAATTTTAGGCTCTGTTTTTAGATTAAATTGAAAGCCAAAATAAATTCTCAGTCGCTAAAGCGTCGTCTTCGACGTCAAACACAAAATTTGCAAACTGCAAAGTTTAAAAATATATAAAAAATTTGTATTTATGGCTCTCTTCTTCCATTTTATGTAGGGGAAAAAAAACTGCTTATACCATTATTTTGTACAAGACTTACATTATCCTTTAATTGTTTTAAGCAATGCATATATCTGAAACGATTTTTTCCCACGTTTTTTGTCAAAAATAAAACTTAAGTGGGATGTGTGTATGATTATGATAATAAGACTATTACAACCAAATTTGTTTTACAGCAAGCGTGGGCTTCCTATCAAGATTCGATCATTTACTGCAGATCATTGTCCAGTTAATTTTGGTCGCCTACGCAATCATTTTGAATGTTTATGCTAAACAGAGTTCCATGAACACGTGGTCACTATTACCTTCATGTTTGGATTGAATCTTTTCCGAAAAAGAGGCTTAAGGTTAAGTAGCAATGCAATGATAAGCCACACTCTTTCTAAAGGTTTTGTTTCAAGCTGTGGCTTAGAATTATTTACAGATGTTCTTTTTAAGTGTTTGGAATTACTACTAGATAAAAATCAATTCACAGAAAGTTCAGGTACGAATCCGAGAGACGGTTGGTCGGTACGAACTTCTGCTTCCAGCTCGCAACGACAACAGTGCTGACTCAAAATATCCCCATTGCTCGATGAATAATGGATTAGAATCCCCCTTGCCATCAGATTGTGGGAGGTTTTCGTGGTTTTCCTTTCCATGAAGCGTAAATGCGTTAGTTCTATCAAAATGACCTCCACGAAAGCTAGTTTGTCTCACTGCTTGTTCCAAACATTATGGATTTTGTGATGGTTTCAAAATTGCAAGGCTAAGGCTTTTCCTCTATATGTAACACGAATGCGGGCTACGACGTTGAACATTGGCAGACGTAAACCCAATAATGGTGAATTTGAAGACGTGACTTAACTTAAAATTTCTCCAAGCATTTTTTTGCTGCTGTTTGAATAAATATGTGGTACAAATAAACGGTGGGCGAAATCTGATCTGGCAACCTAATTTTTTTCTTCAAATCACCAATATCTGTAACGTAAGAAGTCCTCCAAGAACGCAATTTTCTTTCAATGCTTGATCCAGGAGTTCCCTTGTCTTCTGGATTGAGTTCAAAATTACACGGCTAAACATTATGGATTTTACATTATGGATTTTACATTAGCAATCGTAAACCCAAAAAATTGGGTTGGCTGCTCAACAACGGTTATAAAATAAAAATGTATGTACTGTTATGCACTTTAAGTTAACGTAATCAAGCTGTTTTAAAACAAAAATATATTAAAACCACTGAATCTTTTTTAGTATTAGGAGTTTAACATGGCATATATAAAAAAGTGGTGAATTATATCAGCCTACGAATTGGTTAGAATTAGTGGTGAATAAAAATCTACTAAATTGAATTTATGAAACCAAAAATCACAATTAATAAACTACCACTTGAAAATATTTATTCGCTGTCCGGAGAAAGTTGGCATTTCTGTGTATATAAATAGAACTATTTTTGCGTGTTCTATATTTCATTAATTTCTTCAAACCATTTTAGTAACGATAATAATATAAAAAATTAAAAATTTACTCGAATTATGTGTTTCTAATAATCTTGGCTTCGCCGGTCACCGGTAACCGCCGTGGTGCTACGAACAAACTCAGTGCCTGTCACCGGTGACCCACATGGCGTTCAACATGTTAAACAACAAAGAGCTATTGTATGTCGTTTCACTTAGAAAGTACTGTCTAAGATCGTGCTTGCTAATACCCTGATTAAAAGTTTCAACCGTAATTTGCTGTTCTAGAAAAGGTTGTCAAATTATGGTTAATTTTGTTACTTCTTTAAAAGACTCACCCAGAGATAACTTACTCTGTTGCAAGTTAAGAAAAAATACAATTATCCCTATGGAAAGCGCCATTTCCCTCATCAAAGCTCAAGTCAAATAGATCCCAAGCTCGCAGCGCTAACGAATATCAACGTCGCAAAATCTTGAAACGACGTTGCACAGTGTCCTTTCTGCTTGCTTTCTTTTTTTCAACAATAATCAATTAGAAAGTAATGAGAATTAATAAAAATGTTATCTAAAAATCGTAATAAATATTCGCCTTTCTGTTAGCATTTAAAGAAACTGATGGAAGAATTATATATATGTTTCTTGCAGACGATTTTCTTCAACAGCGAATCAAAAGTTTAAATTCTTTAACTCGCATCTGATTTGTCATTGAGCATGTGAACATGTCAGCATCATAAGACGCGCAATTTTTAGTGCACCAATCAAATCTCTCAAACGCTCTTGCAACGTCATATAGATGTTTCTTTTTCAAGAACGAATGTTCTAATTGTTTATGAAAATATGTCGCCAAGTCTAGGATTCCAATAAGATTTCGAAACAACTGACCATTTTTTAAAAAAATAATTCTATGATATATATCGTAAAAGATAGCAAGAATTAAATTTTTTTGACGTGTTTAACTTTTAAAATCTTTTTAAATTGTTTTGAAAGCATATTCGTTTAATTTGATTACGAAATAAAACGGAACTACATGCAGTCGGTCGCGAATGATTACTTAAATCCTACACCGCAATGATCTTTTCTTAATTTGCAATGGAGTATAGAATAATGTAGCGTCTCACGTGAACTTCTCAAACACGTTACGTAGTGGAAAACAAAGTAAGTTTAAATTAGGTTTAATAAATCATGAATTTTACATTAAAACATAAATATTACTAATACAAAATATACAAAATGATGAGTTTTCGAATATCCTTTTAAAAACTCTACTACCAGAGTTTTATTTGGATCGCTGAACATGTTGACCGTTTAATCAAACTATTTGAGGTTTTTGTGAATTTATTTTTCAGCGGTTGTGAACTGAAGCAGAATTTTTTTGAAATAAACTGTTTTAAAAATATTCACTTCTTGAAACTTAAGCTTTTGTCTTTATGACCTTATATGTATCTGTTTAAATTACTTTTTAAATTTAGTTGTGGACAAAATTCTTTTGATTCTAATTAAATATATAAATGCATTACCCTTGCTACCATTATGAAAAATATTTTCCAAAAGTACGGAGAATCCGCTATAGCTGGAACCAAGGCCGTATCCAGGATTTTTTTTCGGGGGGGGGGATATGGTAAGAAGCAAGGACGGTTTCAGACATGCAAAGTAGGGGAAAAACATTGTAACAAATATTGTTTATTCTGTTGTTTGCAAAAGTTAAACTAGTAATTAAAAAGTATTACATAATAATTATAATCAATTTGTAAACAAAGTTTACAAAGACATGCGACAGGGATTTGAAGAAAATTTTTCGATTTCTCTTTTAGGACAAACCGGAATATTCCGAAATATGCTTAATAAAGTTAGTTTAATAAAAGGTTTGATTCCACAGTTTTTGTTTTTCTTTTTACTAAATAGTTTGAATCCCAGAATTTCGGGGGGGGGGGATTTGTCCCGACGGTTCATCCCCTGGCTACGGGCCTGGCTGGAACCTTTGATATGATGCTTCCCTTGTAATGAAAATAGAAATATTTTATCCTTATCACTAGTACCTGAGAGCCCTAATTTGAATTACAAAAATTCTGATATTTTTGTCATTCTGGAAAAAAAAAATGCTGTAAAATGTACACTCTTTAAATTGGGTTCTGAAAGAGCAATAAAATGGAAACAATATAACACTACATGGTGTGTAATAAAACAGTGGTTATTAGAATATATTAAAATTAAGAAACAAAATACCCATCACAGTTTCAAGTTCTTTTGACATAAATTCGATAGCTAAAACAAGACTCTATCAACTGATATTTGTAAATTATATCCATAGTAAATTATATACATAGATAACCGTCTGTAGCACCAGGGCCTGATTACCGAAAAGGCACAGGAAGCAAGTGCTTCCCCTTTTAAATTCTAGGGGGGCCCCCAAATGACTGAAATTAAGGGCCCAATTTCTTATTTTTTGTAGCCAAAAAAAATTNAAATTATATCCATAGTAAATTATATACATAGATAATCCTTTGTAGAACCAGTAATAAATTAATCATTAACAATGGTTTAATATATCCAAAATTTAAAAAAAGATAATTTTAGAATTTTGTGGTAATATTGTTGGAAATAATATGCATATAATATGCTTTATAAATGAATTAATAACTATTTATGTTAAACCCCTCTTCAAAGAAGTTCCTTTACAGCGAATTCCTATAACGGAATTTTTAATCGGCCTAGTAAATAGCATTCAAAATATTCTCCGTATAACGAAGTAGAAGTTTCCTTGTAACAAATTTTTTAAGTGCTTATCTGTTCAATTTTCGCCGTTTTTGGAATTACTTAGATATTCATATTTCTTATTTCTTTCATTTTTGAACAAAGTTGCCGCTTAAAATTGGAATTTTTGTGCAAACCAATTCGCTTATCTGTTCAACGTAAAATACTTCATTTTTTAACTTTACAAATTAACTTATAGACTAAAAAATTGTGTAACATATATTTAAATACTTGGAAAAAAGAAAATTTGTGTTCACCATAAATAAATTGCCAATTTCTAATCTGTTCCCTATAAACATATGAAATGACATTAATTAAATAATTGTTCGGATGGGACAATTGAAAATGTTTGCTTCGACCAAGTGTTCACTATATCCCGAGTTTCTTTATAGCGAAGTTAAACTGTATTTGTTACAGGATGTTCTAAAAAGTGCTTAAAGGTGCTTATTTTCGATTTTCCTTTTTTAAAAGCCCTTAAAGGTGCTTTATTCATTGGGTGTTTTTAAAAAGTGCTTAATTTTCCCTTTTTCAAAATGAGATTCTTCCTTTATTATGTTGATTTTCGCTACGAATTATACAGAATGACGGAGTTCACATTGTTCTATTCAACGCTTTCTCAATTAATTCAACCTCAATCTTTTTCGGCGTATTGTCAATCCGTAGCGTATGAAAACGTCATTCGTTTACCATGATTCAAAATTTCATGATTTTTGACAAATGTCAAAAACAATGCCAAAAGTTTTTTTTTTTTTTTTTGTTTTTTTTTTGTTTTTTCTTTTGACATGGCGGTTAAAACAAGAGAAAACCGTCAATTATCAAAAACTTCACAACCCTATTAATTATGATATTTTTTTAAAGTGTTTAAAAATAGTTTTTGAGTGCTTAAAAGGTGCTTATTTTTGTTGAATAATTTGGTTACGCACCCTGATTAATTAAATAACAGTTCGGATGGGACGATGGGACAACTGAAAATGTTTGCTTTAACTAAGTGTTCACTATATCCCGAGTTTCTTTATAGCGAGGTTAAACTGCATTTGTTACTACAATTTAAATGTTTATGGGTGGTACAATTGGAAGAATTCTCTCTTTTTTTTTGTAAACATTAAATTTACTGTATTTAAAACAAAGTGAACACTTACATGAAATAAAATCTATCTCCATGGGGGTGAAGAAAAAAAAAGAAAACTATTGGATCACCTGATCACACAAGTAAGTGAAAAAAAGGCAATGATTCCGAAACGAGCTGCTTGTTTTCCTTTCAAAGAAGCTTTTTACTTGTTTACCGTTCTCTGACTTCGTCAGAATCAATAGGCATTTCGCAAGTTCGACGAGGACAGGTGAAAGGGGGAGGGGTGAAACTGTTTTAACGGGGGGGGAAGGCAGGTGCAATGAGAATGAAAAAAGAAGCTTTCTCTCGCTACTTTGGCGAATTTCGAACGTTTTTCTAACCAACACCTGCAGCAGTCGTCGAATCTTCAAGGTTTTCACTTATTGCTTCCAAAAAAAACCTGTATATATAAAACGAACGTTAGCGCCAAACGATATTCAACTGCTGCGATTGTGATGTTGCAGATGATTTATACACCTTTCGAAAAAAAAGAACAAAAAGTTTATAATTCATTCCAGAGATACCCTGTTTCATTGTTTTGTCCACGCGTTATGCTTGACGAAAATTGCAAAGCTCTCTTTATTTTCATTTGGCGGTTATCTCGGAATAGATCGATTTTCTTTTTCCTAGATTCCGAATAAAATCTACATCTAGAGTAAACCGATTTTACTTTTTAAGAAAGCTATTGTATGACGCTTGATATTTTATCTGTTTAGAAAGAAAGGATTTATTGGCTCTTGCTTCGTTCTTTTTTTGTCTTTAATCGTCTGCAGAAATTTTTTTTTAAAGGGCGCAACCTACTTGATAAAATAAATTAAATATCATAAACTAAATTTTAAAAAAACGAGCAGAAATGTACGTTTATTAACAAATAACATTATAAAACAATTCGTGCAACTTAGATATTGCGAATTTTCAAGCACTAATAAAGCGATATTTAAACTTTTTCATGGTGTGTAGCGTTTTTAAAAAATGCTTATCGGTGCTTATTTTCGTTTTTTAAAAAGCCATTAAACGTGCTTTTTTCTTTGGATGTTTTAAAAAGTGCTTAATTTTCCCTTTTCGAAAATGAAATTTTTTTCTTTTCGAATTTTCGCCATGTATTTCGCAAAAGTGCTCTATTCAAAGCTTTCACAATTCATTCAACCACAATCTATTTCAGCTTACCGTCGGTTCATAGCGTATGAAAGCTCCAAATCATTTTACAGATTTGATAAAATACATGCGAATCTGCATGTGCGTATAGTGAGCTGGGTTTGGTGAGATTATTGCACTCTCACGTGTAACTCTGCTGCATTTTGCAAGATATTCTCAATTTTAAGCTTCATTTTCCACCCTCTGAAATCGAACCGAAAAATCTCTTGATCATTTTTTAATGACTAGTATAATCAAGGAAAGAGTTCTTTGTCAAAAACTAATTATTATATCACGATCGTGTAAAGTCTTTGAAAATTATTTTGCATTTTGTTAATGTATATAATGCTTAAAAATATTTTTGAGTGCTTAAAAAGTACTTAAAAGGTGCTTATTTTTTGTTGAATAATTTGACTACGCACCCTGTTTTTATATACGGTATGTTTGTATTTACATTATTTTTAGCTATAAGTTTTAAGTTATCTAAACATCAAGTATTAAAAAAATCATTTACTAATATCGTCTTTAAGATTAATATTCTTTCTACTATCATATGGTGGACAAAAGTACTAGTACGCTTCGCATCTCCATGAAAATCTGACTATGAAGCTATTTATCTTTCAGTTTGTTTTAATAAAAACAATAAAGAAAGTTCGTCATCTTGCTGATTACCAGGCAGATAAATAAAGAAAAATCAACAATCCAATTTTAGTAAGAAGTAAAAAAATAATTTAATAAAAAAAACTAATTTTTCTTTTAAGTTAGTTTAAAAGCGAATTAAAAATAACTTTTTAATTCGCTTTTAAAAATAAATTAAAAATAATTTTTTAATTTATTGCAAATATGGTACCAAAATTTATATTTATTGTAATTGTAAACAAGTTTTATTTTGTTAATAACCCGGCTGATTTAGAACATTAAACTATCCAAAGCAGTGGCGGAATGCAGTGTAAAGTAATACAAATATGTTAAAAAAAAAAAAAAAAAAAAAAAAAAAAAAAAAAAAAAAAAAAAAAAAAAAAAAAAAAAAAAAAAANAAAAAAAAAAAAAAAAAAACAGACCAGAAAAATTGGAGCTATTGACAGATTAATGTATAAATTTAAGTATATTTAACTATTCTTATTAAGAATTTCTTAAAACAATTCGTGTGCAGGTATATAGAAATAGGAAAATTTTCTGGGAATATTACTCTTTTCCTTTTTTACAAGGTAATTGTTCTAAATATGATTGTTATTATTCCTCTATTTAACATATTCCTTCTTAATTAATGCCATTAATATATACAGAAACTGATCTTATGTACGCTATAAATATGAAATAAAATGAATGAAATGAGAAGAAATTACCATAGAACAAGTAAAGTTTACATAAAGAAAAATTAGACATTGAATTAGTTCTTAACCGGCAGATATAAATACCATAAAAACTCCAATAATTTAATTAAAGCTTCTAAGCCAACTCTTTTTTTTCCTTCTCTTTAGTTAAAAACTGACTTTTTTAATAGCATTTAAATTTTTTAAAACAAATATGCTGTGAGCGAAAAAAAGATAATAAGGATTCTTCAATTTTAAATTCTGGATAAATTTTTTTCCTGCTTACAGCGAAAAAAAAGCACTTTTCCTTGCTACTATACTACCCTCCCCCTATTAAAAAATAATTTTAGATAACTGATAAGAAAACAGGAATTCTGAAAAATGCTTTTGTTGCAAAATGTAGCTTGTAATTCATAAATACATTTTATATAAAATTTCTATTCCGAATATTTTTTTTTTTATCGCTTATGTTGAATTTCTGCTGCACGATTCCGAAATAGTGCTGCCATCTATCCTTAATGATTGCATACAGTTAAGGACAAAAATAAAATTTATTTTTCAGTTAATATGATAGACGATAATTGTTTCTATGTGAGAGATTTCAGGATTAAAACTTCCTTCATATGTCAAATAAAATTGCGCAGACTAACCAATTGAGAATGAATTTATTCAATAAACTTGAACTGAACTAGATCACGTACTACTATATTAAACCTCAATGTAACTCATTTTCTTGATAAGGATTTATCTTAATTTTGAAAAAACATAGAATTTATTATTAATTTTAAAGTTATTAATTTATTTTCAAGGGGACTGCTAAGAGGAATTTATTTTATACATTCTAAAACTTTTTACACTGCCCTGTAGTTCATCTTTAATATGAAATAGAACAATAGAATGTCATTAAAATAGAAATAACGACATTGTGAAAAAGGTTATGTGAGGAATAAAATTAATTAAATTATGAGCTGAAAAAATTGTCTAGATGAAACGAGTTTTTGTTTCGATGCAATGAATGTATCGGTGATAACTGAAATTGAATCGGTGTTTTTAGAAAGTTTTAAAGATAGCTTGAGCCATGTATAGTACAGTGATTTAGATAAACCGTCTTGAAAAAAAAAAATCTAGATCTGGCTAATCATGTTCAAATAATTTGATTATTTTCTTTTTCTACTAGAATATTTCATGCAGAAAGAATATAATATATTACGTTCCACCCTTTCGTCCCCCGCTCCGGATTAAAAAGATTATATTATGCGCTTATTTTTTTCATACCAGATAATAAAGTGTGAACATTGTTATGTTTATTTAAAATTCAATTAATATAAATAATAATGAAATTTTCAGTGTGTTGCATTGAACTACGTTCGTTCAAACTTCTGAACGAACAAAAAGAATCATACGAAGCAATATAGTACATAATCGAAACATAATTATTAATATGAAAATTTTGTATCTACCAGTCAATACGTAGTCTCTGAAAAACCCATATATATAAATGTAAAATTTAAGGGAGTGTTTATGAGATTCGTTCAAGGCTTGTCATCGGAGCTACGTAAGTGTCCATCGTGACATACTATGCTCTGGGGAAAGTCCCCGAACCCGTGACAGAGAGTGATCGTGTCGCAATCGGCATTGTCCCACTCTCGCTCTCTCTCTAACTGAGAAGGCTTATGCCTGAGTGGGAGGAGCTTTAAAAGGAGTGGGAAATTGTTACAGCTAAGCTATGCAAGCAAGACTGATCGTGTCTTAACTGAATGGGGCTTACTCAGAATGGATCTCAAATTTTTTATTTAATTTTCTTTACTGCTTTAAATAATAATTTTGTTGCGGTGCTATTTAGTCTTTCTACTAGTGAATTCATTTAAATAAAGTAGCAATAACGCATACTACAATTCGTTTCGAACGCAGGATTGTCATATGCTATTTGTACATCAAGTTAAGCTTTTAACAAAAGTAGGCGTTACTTTTTTGAGTATCAAGGCTGCTTCAGTCACAAAAATTTTCCTGTCCTCTATTCCAAATTCAATGGTATTTGAGATTTTTTGACCTAATTAATCTATAAGAATGGGACCATGATTTATATTTAACTGGGTACTAAGCGTCTAGAAGAGGCCTATATCCTGCTCATCTTGAAGTTGTATTATTGAGGTGAAGTCAATGGAGTATCTGAAAATATTTTGGGTAGAAAAAATAATATTGGGCCACTGCTTTGCCGACATTGTCAATGGAGTAAGAAGTTACATTTGTACATACAGAGTAGTATTAACATTAAAAAATGACATCACCAATAATATCAAAGGTGATGTTTGTGTTGACAGAAGTGTAGTAACGTGGCAAGACTAGAATATAAAAGTATATGGAATATCTGCACAATGTAGTAATTGCAGAAAAAGTGCACATTAAATTGCATAATAATGAACACATTAAGTTGAAGGAGTATGGTGAATATAGCAATATTAGCAAATTAATTTGCATGTTATACTTGTGCATACAGAAGAATATTAATAAAATGACATCAAGGGGGAAAAAATCAAATCTTTCTGTTGCTTTAGTTCACGAATTCAGATTCACTTTCAGATTCGTATGAGATTCTTAAATTACTAAACTAAACTGTGCAAATCTGTCTGGGTGCTTGAGACTATTTGCTGCCGATGCGGCCCTTTACTCATCCAATATGGCAGTTCGATGGTGATGCAAAGGAATAGAGAAAAATGAGTGATGATACATGTGATAATATACATGTGGTGTTAAAATTATAAGGTAATACATAATATAATATAAAAATTCTAATTGAATAAAGAGTTCGACTTCAATCAAGATACAACTTGTATGATGAAAGAAAGATTTTTATTTTTATATGTTACAGATGTTTTATATCAGATGCATCATCACTGTAGTAGTATGCTGTAATTGGGTACTTGCATATCAAGGAGAAGAAGATAACGGATATCCACACGTGTGACCTATAACTACAGCGGCAGCTGATTATTTATAAGTTAAGTGGTATGTTAAACTCGAACTAACTTTCTCCACATTAATTATAATGTTAATTAACTTGAAGTCAATTAAATAGAGTGCCATATCGCCCTGCAAATTTGTTGAAATATATTTTTTTCTAGTGTACGTCTTTTACTTAACTAATTATTTGTTTTACGTATTTTATTGTAACCGGGGTGTATTTCTGTCTTGTGTAACTGGCATCTTCGTAGCATAATTTATTTATTTATGTTCTAGACAGCTTTGCGTCTGTTTTTGTGTTAAATAAGAAATATAAAGTGAAAGAATTGAAATCTTTGTGAAAGAATATAGAATGTGTCACTTAAGAGAACTAATCCTAAACGGGCTTTACCTACTCACAATATAATGGAAAGAACAGTTGCTAACGTAAACAAAGCCATGTTTCAACAACCAATCAAGATTGAGATATCCTCACTACGTAAGTTGCAGGTATCCAATTGTCCGCATTGTTCTGTTATATATAGATTTTAAAAGGAAAATATTTCTTTGAAATTACAGATGTTTTTTTCTTTGAATTTTACGTTGAGTTCAGCTATATGCCGGTCTATTGCTTCAATTCTGAAGTCTCTGTGTATAGTTTCATTTTTAACGAATCATCTCGAATTTGTAATTCTTCTTAATATTTTATTCTAATGACCGAGATAGCCTGGTTGGTTGGTTCGAAAGAACGGGAGTTCGAATCCAGCTAGTCAAAGAATCCCCGTGCTTTAAATCGTGACTGGTGCATATTAAATCTGACGTGGTGAAAAAGTCCTCCAAGTTCCAATTTCAAATAAATACCTCTGGGGGTAACAAAAAGGGAAGGGTAATCAATAACGAAAACAAAACAAGTTTTTATTTAAACAAAACAAGTTTCATGTTTTCTAGTTCAGATTATTTAAATATTAAACATTACAATACAACCAATACAAGCTGATGATTAGCATTTGATGGTTCAATGGTAGACTGATTCTATTGCACAGAATATCAGCGCTCTAGTGGGGACATTTCAAATTAACCTAATTTACTACTACATTTCTCAACAGGGGGTACTGAACCAGGAGTTCTACTGCCTCCTGGATTGGGTTCAAAATTACAAGGATATGGAGTTGAACATTGGTAGCCGTTAAATCAAATTTGGATCGACCGTTCAATGACGGTTATGAAATAAAATATTTCATTCTCTTAGAATATTAATTTGAGTCATATTTATCTAGACTTAGAATTGTTCTGGTTACTTACTATCAACCCTGGTAGACACTCTCTGATTCATCGGATCTGACATGACTCAAAAACATAATATGCTAGCCGAGATGCTAACTGCTCCGGACACGCCAAAATAATTAAAAAAAACGGTAAATAACTACAAAGTAAATTTTGAAAATATTTGACAATTTTTGCTTGCTTTTTAAAAGGTATAGCATGACATAATTATTATAAAGTGGTGAATTGTATAAGCCTACGAATTATTTAGAAATAGTGGTGGATAAAAATCTACTGAATTGAATTTATTAAACCAAGAATCACAATTGATAAACTACCGTTTGAAAATATATATAATTTCTGTCCGGAGCAAGTTGACATCTCTGTGCTAGGCATATTGTCTGGTATAGTGTATTTGGATGGCCCAACTTCCCCGTGACTGTGCGCAGTTTCTGGTGAGTTGCTCACCGATTACACCAGTCTGTTATATATGATTGGTAATAAAATGAAAAAAAGGGTTAAGTATAATATTTACAATATGGTTCGATTCCAGCCGGCCGAAGACTCCCCGTGTAGTAAATGGTGACTGATGCACGTTAAATCTGTCGAGTCGCAAAGTCCTCCATGTTCCCAATACCTCTGGGTGTACTGATCCAGGAGTTTCCTTACCTTCTGGATTGGTTCAAAATTACAAGGCTACGGAGTTGAAGATTAGTAGTAGTGAACCCAAAATTGGGTCGGCTGTTCAACGACGGATACAAAATTAGATAAAATATTTACATTATTTCTTGGATAGAATACCCTTCGATAAGAAAAAGGCTGCCAACTCTTACGCATTTGGCGTAAAATTTTATTTTCATATTTAAAGTGGTAGAAAATGTATACTATTTGTTCTTTTATAAACTTAATTTTTAAATGATTTTGATCACCAATGTTTTTAAGAAAATTAAGCACATATATTAATCTGTGTTACTATCATAGTTGTCAGCTTAAGCTTTTTCAAAAACAACGTATTTTTTTGCTCAAAATTAAAATTTTAATTCCTTTATTATACCACTGGGAAAAATCATAATGGAAGGGATTAAAAATTGGCAGGTATGCTATGTGTAAAATTTTCATTTAAATCTTTGCTTAAAATATCATTAAATTTTGTCTTGTTGCATTTTTCTGCTTTATTAAAGAAATTGGCATTCAATGAGGTAATAAACTTAACGCATATTTTTTTTACCTCAGTATTTTAAAATTCTTTTTTTTTTATTTTGTATATTTAAAGCAAATTTTTTTTAAAATATGTCAAATTACAGTGTTATATAATTAGTTTCAAATATCTATACAATGCAAAAATAACGTTAAAAAATTTCTTTCTTATTTGCGACTCCTTATTTTATTTATTACCTAATCCAGCAATTTTTATTAAAAATTGCTATTATGTTGATATTTTAAATAAATTTCGACATTATATTTGAAAAAAAAAAAGAATGAAAAAGCTATGAATTAATCAAAAAATCTTTTTTTATAATTACAGTTAAGTTAAAATTATAAATACATTTTGACATTATATTCGATTAAAAAGGAAGGGTAAAGCTATCAAATAATCTAAAAATAAATCTTTTTTTATAATTACAATCTTGTTGAAATTATAAATAAATTTCGATATCATAATCGAAAGAAAAAGCTGTAAATTAATCTAAAAATTCTTTTTTATAATTGCAATTATATTAAAAATTATAAATAAACTTTGGCACCATATTCGGAAAGAAGGAAGGAAAAAGTCAGTAAAAATTGTATTTAATGAACAAAGCATCATTTGTAAGATCTATTGTGATCTTTAACAAATAGCTCATCATGTTCAAATGAGGTTTCTCCTATCAATTAACTAGTAGGATATAGATAATAAGAAAAATTGAGAAAAAAATCAAATCTAAAAATTTATAACTGAAAGCAATACCACTTTTTAATGATTAATTTATTATTGAAGTATTGCACTGAACAAGGATCGTCAGCTTTGCGCAGAGGCAGTGTCATAGCCAATGAGGTTCTACCGAGGCGTGACTATTGCTAGTTGAAAACTTTTCCCAATACCCCGCCATGTCGACGTGAAAAACCGTCGGCAGAGGCAATTTTTGGGAACCTCTTCGGAGGTTTATACTAATAAAACTAGGGAAGTTAGTTGGAAGGTTGATGCTGACTGCCGCAATTCCTCTCGGCTCAAATATTTTACTTGATGGCTTGGGATCGTAAGTTAAGGATCCGCCCACTTTATATCTTGTCTGATTTCATCGTTATATTATATCGCAGAAGCTCACTAAACATGAAGAGGCATTCGACGTCGTGAGCGAAAATGCAAACATGAGATAGAGTTGTAAAATTGAACAAAAAAATGGTTCCACTGTGTAATAATTTACTAATTGATGCTCTTTGAAATTTAGCAGAGATTAGTAGGCGTTACGTTTCATAGCACGATTATTTAGTATTCTGAGAAAGTGAGAGTTGCGTTTCGTAGTAAATCAAAACTCTTTGAGTTCAAGTCACCGATTTCTCTTGAAGAAAATTTTTGTGGAAAAGTTTTTGATCGAAAGAAAAAAAAGTTAAATTAATTCTTTCACAATTTTCGGATTACGAAATTTGACTCGACTTAAGAAAAGGGCGTAACTACATATGGCGATGCGAATGTTAAAAATGTCAATATCTATTTAATGTATGAGCCAATATTTTTTATTTTATGTGTTATTACAAAAAAAAAGTGAAGACGATATAATTAAACCATTAAAAACGCTGAAAAATTTGTATATGTTTTTACAAAATGGAGTAAGTTGACATTTCTGAGAACAGCAGATTCGTGTAAAATACTGTTTCACTGTAAATGTATAAAATATAAAGAATCCATATGTTGTCTGTTTAGATCATTCAAAACAATTTCGATATTTTGCTTTAATCATGGTCCGAAAGTAGCATCAGTAGATTGGTAAATATATTTAAACAATCCCAATAATTTTTTTTATTGTTCACAATATTTTCTTTAGGGAAGAAATGAATAGAGATTATCTTATTCAATGAGTATATATTTTTAAACCATTTACGTACAAATGATGTAATTTTTTTTTATGTGTATGAACCACTTGTTAAGTGAAGCATATTCAATTTTAAACCAGATTTTTTTGTTGTTTTAATTCATTCGAGTGATATACGTACTACAAAAGTGTCTCCATTTTTGTAGTACGTAGGGTGGGTAAGGAAAAGGGCGATATTATATTTTAATTTATGTCGCGATATTTTAACGTCATATGTTTTTAAATATTCATCCAAAAAACTAAACTAAAATAATTTTAATATACATTTGTATTTTTCCGAACGAAATTAGTGTTAAACTCACTATATTCACAAACGAAGTAAGTAAGATCAAGTACTTCTAGAAATGCAACTAAAAATTTGTTCCCGAGTGTAATTATGTAAAAAGAAACATGAGCAACCAGAAGAAAATATTCGTACCAGCAAATAAAAAAAAAATTCTAATAATTTTGTATTTTTATTTTGGTTTCTAGTTATGCAGCATACAACTGCCTTAATGCTAATTCATCCCTCCCGATAGACCTAAAACGCTTGCTGTACTTACAATGTCTAAGGCCTATCCTTACTTATGCATGCCCCCCTTGGGTTAATATAATTAACAATACCCAGATAAATAAATTTGAAAAAGTCCAAAACAAAATATTGTGACGCATCACTAGTGCACCTCGCTATCTACCAAATATTAACATTAAAAACGACTTAAAAATAGACCCAATCATGAATTTTATAAACAGATTAAATGTTAGTTTTTATATACTAATAGTGAAAGGACCTAATATATAGTGGGGATGTATACAATTCCTCAATTTCTTCACGGGAGTGAAATACTGATATGATAGAGGTGAAAAAAACAA